ACCAGGTCCTGTTGGGCCAATATGGAGCCACTAACAAGACCTGCTCCTCATCCTCCCTGATCTTGCACAGTGTTCAAAAACTCGCAGATCCTTTGCCAGCAGGACTGCGATTTCCGCATGCAAGACAGGGGCATCGACAATCTTGACTGAAGTGAACCAGAAGCCCCTGAACTCCGCAGAGCAGGCTCACTGGGGGGGGGGGGCATATTTGCGCAGGCCCCGGGGCCAGCTGTGTGCCAGTGTGTCCGAGCCGAGCATTGCCTCGGTTAGGGAATAGAACCACTCTCAGTGGGGGGTTTCTGGAGATGCAAACAGGTCTACCTGAGCAACTCCGAACCGTCTCCTGATCAGCTGAACCACCTGGGGGTGGAGTCTCCACTCTCCTTGAAGAGCTGCCTGATTGAATACTCCTGGGATGTGGATGGCACGAAGAGACCTCAGATGCTTCTGACTCGACAGGAGGAGGTGGCGGGCGAGTTGCGACATGCGACGGGAGCGTAAACCGCCTTGCTGGTTAATATACGCAACCAGAACGTCCCTGCCCCGAGGCACCCTCTAAGGCGGCTCAGGGCAAGGCATACTGCTAGCAACTCGAGGCAATTGATATGCCAACGCAGTTGGGGACCCGTCCAATCTCCTGACACTGCGTGCCAGTTGCACGTGACTCCCCAGCTGGTTGCCGAGGCATCCGTGAATACCACAGCATGCCTGGATGGCTCAGGGCAAGGCATACTGCTAGCAACTCGAGGCAATTGATATGCCAACGCAGTTGGGGACCCGTCCAAACCCCTGAGACTGCGTGCCCGATGTAAGTGGCCCGCCAGCCGGTGGCCGAGGCATCCGTGAATACCACAGCATGCCTGGATTCCTGTTTCAGGGGCACTCCTGCCCGAAGAAACGAGGGATCTGACCACGGGCTGAAGGTTCTTCGGCAGGCCGGTGTAATCTGAACCCGGTGAGTACCTCGTCGCCATGCCAACCTCAGGACTCAGCCATGGAGCCAGTGCTGAAGCAGTCTCCTATGGAGCAGACCGAGCGGAACTACCGCCGCAGCTGCAGCCATATGCCCCAGGAGCCTCTGAAAGAATTTCAGTGGGACCGCCATCCTGCCTGATAAAGTCTTGAGGCAGTTCAGCACCGACTGAGCACGTTCCTGGGTGGGGTGTGCTGTCTGACTGACCTAATCCAACTCCATGCCAAGAAAAGAGATCCTCTGCATTGGCACGAGTTTGCTCTTTTCCCAGTTGACCCGAAGACCCAACTGGCTGAGGCGTCAGACTGTGCGAGTATTAGCCAGTCATCGAGATAGTTGAGAATGCGCACCCCCCGTTCTCTCAAAGTAACAAGGGCTGCCTCCATGACTTTGGTGAAGATGCGAGGTGACAGGGACAGCCCAAAGGGCAGGACCTTGTACTGATATGCCCGACACTCGAACGAGAACCGCAGGAATGGCCTGTACCACGAGAGGATCGAGACATGAAAGTACGGCAGCTTGTGAAGTGCACGGTTCAAAAACTCGCAGATCCAAGGTCGGTCGTATCGCACCGCTTTTCTTGGGCACAATGAAGTAAGGGCTGTAAAACCCCGATCTCATATCAGCTGGAGGGACCGGCTCTATCGCGTCCTTTGCCAGCAGGACTGCGATTTCCGCATGCAAGACAGGGGCATCGACAATCTTGACTGAAGTGAACCAGAAGCCCCTGAACTCCGAGAGACTGTGCCAGAGGTACGTACTCACGGTGGGGCAGCATGGTGGAACACCACAAAATGATTGTACTGTATTTTATGTATAATCATTTTCTATTTTTTAACTCCTATATTCATTTGAAATACATTTTTAAATCATTTTCAAAGTTTTTAAATTCCTTGTTTTGTTTTTGTGATTTTTTTTTAATGATTATTTTACTTTCTTTTATGTAAAGCACTTTGAATTACCATTGTGTACGAAATGTGCTATATAAATAAACATGCCTTGCCTTGCCTTGGAACACAGGGACTCGACCCTAGGCCTGTGATGGCCTGGCCTCTGACCGCAGAGGGCGGAGTCCGGGTGTGAAGTGTAACACTCCCCTGATTCCTCCGTGTGTGGGAGAAAACACAGGGTCCCGGCTTGAGGCTTGTGACAGCCCGGCGTGTGACGACATGAAGCGGGGACTTGAATGCTACAGCCCCTAACTGGTTTCGCGAATAGGCAGGAGGGGTACTCTTGGGCAACCCACTGCTGCCCGCTGTCGAGAGAGAACCCTGTGATGCACAGTTCACAACTCTCCTTCTCTTGAGACCCAGAGACTGAGGAAACCACTCTTTTATTGAAGGTTTGGGTACCGCTGGCTGCTGGGTCAGCGGCAGAACAAAAACAAAACGAAACAAAGGATTCTCCACCCGGCCCTCCTCCAGGGGAGGGAGTGGTGCGGTCACCATCTCCCGACGAGCAGTCTCCTCCATCTCCGGGTCACCCGTCTCAGGGCCTCTTGTTTTGCACTTGCACTTACCGCCAGGTTTGCTGCCTGGTGGAAGGTTGCTGCTGCTGCATGGGAGTGGGGGCACCCACAGGTGGGTGCCCAGGGTGAGGAGCAGTCTGAGGGGCTGCAGTCGGGATGGAAGCAGCAGGTTTCCTCCGGCGCAGGATATGTTTGATCGCCTCTGTCTGCTTCCTATGCCGCCGAGAACTGCTGGGCGAAACTCTCGACAGCGTTGCCGAAAAGGCCGGTCTGAGACACGGGAGCATTCAGGAACTGCACCTTATCATGCTCCTTCATGTCGACCAGACACAGCCAGAGATGGCGCTCCTGGACCACTAGCGTGAACATCGCACGACCCAGGGACTGTGCGGTCACCTTAGTCGCTCGAAGCGCGAGGTCCGTTGAAGCACGCAGTTCATGTAGGACTGCCCGGTGGTGACCACCCTTGTCGACAATGACGACAATGCTGTTACACCTGAAGGGGACAACACAGCCGAGTTGTCATCCCCGGAGAGAGAGAGATCACCCTCTGATGCAGCGATTGACATCTGGTCTCGAGGGGGCAAATCGAAGAAAACGGCTGGCTCCCTTCACCCTGTAGAGGGGCCAGCGCGTCCCTGTGGCTGCTCCACCGGCTGCGGAGTGCTTGAGGGGTGACGAACTCCCTCTGGGGAAGCCGTCACCGTGATCCTCAAATCACCTCTGACTCCACCAGATACAGTGCCGCCCCAATTGCCGGGACGAACACTGGATCGCGGCAGAGGCAGAGGGACACCGCCACATTTGACGTAGCAAAGTCTTTCATGCAACTCCGAGATGGGCATGTCCCCACAAATAGAACATGCACCATCCACGAATGCTTGCTCAGCAGGCTCAACGCTCAGACACGTGAGACAGCGATCGTGACCGTCCCGAGACGCCAGATCGCGACCGCACCCAGAAACACATGGGTGATAAGCCATCTTCAAAAAGATGCGATCACCCGTGTTGCTCTTTTAGAGAAATGCTCTTTTGTGCTGAAGCACGCAGGGGAGCTGGCCACCGCACACTCCTGGTGTGGCTGTCTGCACTACCGCTTAGCTCTGAAGCGAAAGGATGAATTAATGCGTTGCACCTGCTGCCTCTTATACCCGCGCTGCGGGGTGTGGCAGCCAGATGCGAAATCCTCATGCCAATGTCCATTGGCCCGTTTAGTTAGACTCGAAGTGGATTGGTCTCTCTGGCGAGATCCCAATTCATCGGTCATCACCGACGTGATGTCGAGAGTGACCGACTGAAAGGGAACCAGTCTCTTGAGACTAGCTTCTGGTGTAATAATATAACTAAGTGAGCAAATGTTTCTATTCATTTCCCTTAATAACACATTGGCTGATGTGCCATCATCCTTCACATGCTAAACTTATATCTAAATATCTTTCAGTTTAAAAATAAATGCACATAGTCCTTAAGAGTGCCATCTTCCCCCATCTTCCCCTATGTGTACAAAAAATAGAACAACATAGAAAAATAAAATTCTCACTTATGAAAAGTATCTTAGCTATTATGGTGTAAATTTAGCAAATATTCCTACTGGGATACTTTACTCATTACTATTACTTGAAGATAATAATCTGATTATGTAACATGCATCAGTGAGCATATTTACATGGACATTAGTAATATAATTATTTACCTTATTATGAATAAGACAATATTATGATTAAGGTGTTTGTATGAGTTGCTTTTAGAATATTCTTTTCATGTTCCCGTTTTACATGTTATAGTACATAGATCGATTAATGGCACACGTCGGTATGTTCCCAAGCGACGCCATCCGACGTTCCCTCCAGAATTTCACGTATCAACATACAGTTCATCTTCAGTACTATACAGTTTGGGGTGTTTCATTTTGAATTTTACAAAAGCTTCAAGTGCAGTTAAATATATGTCATGCTATATGTGCAAACAGATGACGATAGATACAAATGTGCTTTCTTGCTTGAAACCATGCTCTTTTGTTTGCCGTCAAACGGTTGACCACTGCCGTGTATGTATCCTGTAAAGTCTTACACGATGGTAATAATGTGATTAAGGTGTGTACATGTCTATATTGCACTTCAATAATGCAAAAAAATAGGAATACTCCACATCTTAATTCGATTTGTGTTTACTTCGAGTATGACTTAGCCGGATTAAGGTGATCAAAAATCTCTGTTTACATTGTAGATTCTTAATCAGAGTATTATCTTAATCGTGTTAATATCGGATTGTTGTTGTCCATGTAAACGCACTCAGTTTTAACAGCATTTAACAACGTATCATAATAATTATAGTTTGTGTAGATTTTGTAGATCCATTACAGCGGTTATATATCTTGAAAATGTTTTGTTTACTCTATTTGTTCAGCATCGATTAAGCACACATACACACACACACACACACACACACACACACGCACACGCACACACATGCACACACACACACACACACACTCAACAATGATCTTGCATTGATTGACCTTTAAACTTTTAACGATCTTGATTATGAATTGTTCTTCAGAGTATTCTCGCCTTGAACCCAAGGGTGAAGATCCATGCAAATCTACATTCCACTGCCTCTAAGAAGAATGAGAAGAAGCACTGGAAGAGAAACCCAGAGAGGAACTGTGATGTAAGTTAAAAATTAAAAATATATTAAAAACATACAATACACAAGTATTGTAAAAAACAAAAACAAAGACAAACTCTTCTCACAGGCTGCCTGAAATAACTCACTTTTCCAAAACTCTTTAATATACTGCTACCTTTGAGATTTACATTTAATATTAAAGAAACAGCCAATGGAAAGAAAAGCCCTTGTCACGGCAAATCGAACATACATGTTTTTCCTTGTTTATGGAAAGTTTACATGCTGCCGATTATCACAATGTGCTATGGTCACAATGTACTTCTCAGCATGATGAAAATTAGAGGTTGAAGAAGAATAACAACTGTCAAGATGTTAGAGCTGGTTCTCTGAATCTCCTGGAAGCTGTATCCATCATATCCTCTTCTGAGAGCAAACTTCATCCCAGTTTACCAATGATAATGGGTACTCTGTGATGTAGTTTATGGTGGTGATTCAATGATTATGTCGGCAATGGCTGTGATCATATTACTCTGATGAGCAATAATAGGGCTGAAGATTATAATTCTATAATTAGTTCCAGCCGCCTAGTTTGTCCAATTATTGTAGAGATTCAAATTTTGACTTCTTCTGCCCTTTTGCTTACAATTTGTCAGTGAGTAATTCTTTAGCACTCATCAGAAAACTGCAGCAAAAACCTAAAGGAGACATTATGAAATGCATCATAAGCAGCCCCCCACCCCCCAAATGGATTAAATATTCCACATTTCCTCTCAATTATTATCATATCCTGTGAGCCCTATGAGTCAAGGCTCATAAACATATTCAAATGTTCATTTTAAATGCTTTTTCACCATGTGGCGACTGTGTTGATGAAATACCAAATCTTGTTTCCAGAGCTTGCATATTAATTAGCTGTTAAATTATACTACCAATTCCCAGCACTAAGCATTTTGTCTAATTAATAATAATAAAGCCCCCAAGATGTTGGATTATACTAATCCTTTGCAGGGGAAAATGCTACACATAATTTCAAGAGAAAATGTCAATGGTTATCCCAGTCCCAACAATGCCGCAGTGTAATTGGAAATGTAATTATGTTTCATTTTACCACACAGATGAGTTTTAATACCACACAGAAGCTGTGAGATTAGTCTACTATGACGCAGGGTTGACCAAGGTCAAGTATTTTTGCATATGAAATTACATCACAAAAAAACACTTGGTGCTTTATATGATATTAAATTACATATATAAAATTATCTATATAAAAATGTGTGGTATCAGAAAGAATATGTGAGTGGATTAAAGCAACTAAGCATTCTGAAATGGCTCCGATATACCAAAATGTATTTATTTATTTATTTTTTAAATTCAGTTCCAAGCTCCATCAAGGTAAATATCATCAATATTGTTACCGGTAACAGTACTCATACCTCTATTAAATGGAAAATGTTTGCAGTTTCTAAAGATAGATTGAGTAATTATAGCCATTGAGCATTATATTGGAAAGCCAACATTTTGCAAATTGAATTGGCCTTAACCTAAAATAATCAGACTTCTCTTTCATGTTTTTATATTACCATGCAAAAAGTCTTTTTTTTACTACCAATTAAAAGCTTGGGGGTCACCAATGCTGCTTTTATTTGATAAAAAAATACAGTCAAAACAATAATGTTGTGAAATATTATTACAGTTTAAACTGTAAAAATGAATTTATTCCTCTGATGGCAAAGCTGAATTTTTCAGCAGCCATTATTCCACTCTTCAGTTTCACATGATCATTCAGAAATCATGCATGCTGTTATTCTAATACTCTTAATATTTCTTTAGGATGTTTTGAAAAGCATTTATTTAAAATATAAATCTTTTGTAACATTTCACAGTCTTTACTATCATTATTAATTTCTTTAAAAAAAAATCTGACCTCAAACCTTTGAACAGTAATGTATATTATGTATATAATGTATATATCATTTTTTATATTTCTCACTTATTTGTACTGTATGCATCTTTCAGCATTAATATTTGTGTTCAGATATGCAGAAAGAGAAATTGCTCCTATCCTGCTAACTATTTGCTAATGCAGTTTCAAAACTTGTAATGCACATGCACTTTAATGATTAAATCACTACTTAAACTCTTAAGATTGGTAGCTTTATGTGAGGATCATTCATCTCGATACAGCATCAGTATCAAAAGTACTTCAAGATTGATCCACCCATCTGTATTGCTGACATGCAGTTGTATTATGGGCTGTTAACATGTGCTCTGCTTGTGATAGAGCAGTGATCCATTGATTGTGGAGAGAGCAAAAACATGCTCCAATTAAAAAAAACAAAAAAAAAAAAACTAAGAAAACTGAGAAACAACTTCAACTAAACACGTTATTATGACTTCAAAAGTAAGTAAAATATATCACAAATAGGTACAAATGAATTTTCACTTTAGGTTTTGATACATGGTATAAAACTGGAATCCTTTTCAACCCACCAACAATTTCCAAAAGACTGAATTGTCATCTAGGGGGTTTTGACTTTTAAGTGACTTTCCTTAAAAGAGAGGGAAACCTCCAGGCACATGAATTTGCATATCTTGCTTTTTTAATTAAAAACAAATGAGCAATCAACCCAAAGCAGTTTTGTTGTTTCTTTTTTTTGTGTGTGTGTGTGACATAGCAAATCAATTCAAAAGGATCAAGTGTAAACTTACAACAATATAGTACACCATTCTGACATTTCTTTTAACGTGGGGGGCTGACATGAAAAATCATTTTCATATGAATTATTTATGCAATTATCCATATTCACAACTATATACATTCATGTCAAATTCAAAGCAATTGAAGCCATGAGCTCTGAAACAAAAAAAAAGACATTCATAAAAATAAAATAGATAGATATACTCCAAATTAAACTATATAATTTTCTTTAAAAATAGAGTTGAAGAGAGGACCTTTACAATGACATGAAGATTAAATGAAGATAGCTTCATTTTCAACATAGGCACATCGTTTGTTAATATCTGAGGCTTTAAAGCGACAGGAAGTTTTCCTGGCAGACATTTAGAAACCCACCCCAACTGAGGCTCAGCAGCGGCACCAAATGTAGCCAGTGCTCCATGCTAGTACTCATGTAAACAAACATAGTGAGGACTAAAGGATCACTTCAACCTTCTTTTCTATTATAACACCACCACCGACCACGCCATCATTAGAGCCTCCTTCAGGAAGATAAAGATGAATTTCTTTGCGTTAGATGCTTCTCTTTCAAACAATAATGATTCTTTGGCATAAATAACCATTTGTCTCAATTCCTTTCCCACTAAAATGAAATCAAACTGAACAAAAAATCTGAATACCCGTCAAGAACAAAAAATACTACTAAGATATTTAATTTAAAAAACAGAAATGTTTGGACAAAACCCTTCTCCAGGCAAAATCATGCAACTCTGCTTCTCCACACCACTCACATATTCTGCTATCAAATCAAAATTATGGTCAGATGTTTGAACGTGGTGATGTTGTCATGATATTCTTTGAAATCTTATGAGTGGTATTAATAATACCTGCAAATTCTTCTTGTAGAATACAAGTCATCATACTGAGGCAACATTTAAAAAAAAAAATTAAGATGTGCATTGTAAAACAGACTCTATTCTGGATTTGTCTCTTCTCAATCTGTATCTTGGCAGAGGTTTCTGCAACACAAGGTTGCCAGCTGAAGATCAGAATCCAGTGGAGGTTCATAAAAGAACTGTAGCAGAATATCAGATGGCTGGATTGGTTTCTTATTCACCACCCATCTGTGTTATAATAAAATGTAGTAACTCTCTCTCATGCCATAAATTAACTCAGTGTGTGAAATCGAGTTAGCCTCAATCTCAATCATGTTGTGATTTTATTTTCTTGGCGCCTCAGCCGTATATATGTACGGGGGAATTTCCTGGATGCTCATCCCTTTGAATTTCATTAAATAGCTTAAGTCAATTGTCACAATGACTTCTGTGAAACTGTATTAGCTTATGGAATAAAGAAAACAGCTTAAGCAGCTTGAACTTTGCCTCCTAAAAAGGGAGGGGTTGGGGGAATCCTCTTTAATGCCTCTCTGATAATGTCAGCCATGTCATGTTACAGTGTTAAATGGCACCAATTAATCCTTCCGTTTTAAAGCAGAAACTCGTAAATCTTTAAAAGCAGGATCATCTCTGAACAGTCTGCTCAACGACATAATCCTTCAGCGTGGTCATATTTAAATCTACAGCCTATGGAATATTCCTTATGTTCCTCACAATTTAGAACTGTTTAAAGGATGTTTGGTTTCCTTTATAGGATAAGGATTGCTGTTTTTTGCAGCAGTTGTCTTATTTACAGAACACAACAAATATACTGATTATATTAATTTAAAATTTAAAATGTACAGTTTGTTGTTTAAATCCACCAAAAGGAACTCAAACAAAAGTTTGGAGTGATAGAAAGTAGAACATAGAAAGAAGCTTGTGCACTCTCACAAAACATTATTATTATTATTATTTTTTAAATACAATACAATATTTTGGTGTTTCTTAAACTTTTAAAAAGGAACGAAAACTTTAACTTGAAACCAAAAATGAAAATTCATTTCAATTCATGTCAATTCAACTCATGTCATTCCAATTTCCAAATCTGTATGACTTTATTTATTCTGTGGAACATACAGTAGAAGATATTTTACTTCTACGTCTCAATTATTTTATTTTTATATTTTTAATGGTCCCCAGTGGTCAACATTCTTCAAGATATCTTATTTTGTGTTCCACAGAATAAAGCAAGTCATACATATTTTGTAACGATGAAAATTCATAATAAATATATGAATTATTACATATTTAAATTCATAGCAACCTAAACAATGAGTAAAGCAATCATAAATAATTTTGACACATATTAGATCGTTCATAAAATTCTAGCCAAGAAATTAGCTTGAAAAATATTCCTTTATAACGTTGTCCTCCTGAAATTCATTGTATAACTGATGCACTGACATACCCCCTAAAAATTTCAGTAAATGCGCCTCTTTGTCCCACCAATGTTTCTGTGTGCTTTACTCCCACAGTCTTGTGTGAATTTGGAGAACAACTTCGATGACATCAAGCACACGACTTTGAGCGAGCGTGGGGCACTTCGGGAAGCACTGAGGTAAGCACTGTCTCCATGGCAACAGTCACAGTCAACGCAAAGAAGAGTTTGGGTGGGCAGCCGAAGGAACACGTGTGCATTCTTCATTATTGAGGGAATAGAGGGGTGTACAGGCAGCACTCGGCTCTGCGTTTCTCAGGGATTAATTTGTTGGAAGGAAGCCTCCCTTTGGGCTTTGCCTTGACTCTTCAACCCTGCAAGAGATGCTAAGGCTGAGTGCACAGTGAAAAATGTAAATGTTTAATTTGTTAGTTGAAAATGCTTTTGGGGATCCCAAGACAACATCAGAATACTTGATCATGAGGACCGCTGGTGTTCTGGTGTAACTTTCTGTATGCAGTCTTAAAAACAATGTAAGTGATAAATAAAGATATGTGCTTTTCAAATAAGCTGAACAGAGTCCTAACTGAAATCTATTAAAGGGGTCATATGATGCGATTTCAAGTTTTCCTTTCTCTTTGGAGTGTTACAAGCTGATTGTGCATAGATAAGATCCCTGAAGTTGCAAAGACTAAAGTCTCAGAACCAAAGAGATATACTCTATCAAAGTTAAGACTCTGCCATGCCCCCCTAAAACGGCTTGTTCTAACACACCCCCACATATCTACGTCACTATGTGGATATATTTGCATAATGCCGCCAAAAGGTTCACGCAAAGAAAGAAGGCGTGGTTTCAGTAACCGCAGTTAGTGTTGAAGCAGCCATGTCAGGGAGACGCTGTGTGTTTCTAGGCGAAAGCAAAAGCACTTTATTTGGCCTTCCGAAAGCAGATGCATTTAGGAATCTTTAAGATTACTTACAACAGAACAGCAATGCATTTTATAAAGAGGGAGAGATAGAGAGAGGGAGAGAGAGGGCCACATCACAAACACATACCAGCTTCATCACTGTGTCGGTCACGCGACTCTGTTCCCCTTTCGGGCTCTGTCTTTGCATTTATTTTGAAAGATGAAGCTCGCGATTATGGTAAGGGGCCTTACATTTCCGACGAGTGCTTGCGGTGTTTGGCCAATCACAATGCACTGGGTCAGCTGGCCAATCAGAGCAGACTGCGCTTGTCAGAAGGAGGGACTTTGTGGAAAACTACGCATTTGAGAGAGGCGGGGCATAGAGAACCTACAATAATGTACAGTTTTTGAAAAATAATGTGTTTTTTTAACATTTAAAGCATGTCAACATATTCTGTTACACCAAATACACAAAATAATGATCTTTAAAAAAGCATCATATGACCCCTTTAAGTACAATGATCTTCATATAAATAACATTGTTTGCTATTAGGCCTGTTTCCCACTAACATCATCAATCATCAATTCTGTTTATTTTGGTCCTTCAGACAACTTCTCACAAAAAATAAAATAAATGAACATAGTTTCCAAAAAAGGTGTAGGCCGAAGCCTTGCTTATTATACCTACCCTTTATACGTATTTAACCAATGAAAGTCACTTTTTCACTAGATTTGACAGATTAAACATATGTATTTTTATGCCTGTGTTGTGTAGCAAATGTTTTTAGGCACTGAACCTATATTTGTCCTCTATAGAGACTAGGGATTGAACGACTTCTGATTTTTTGAAGTCGACTTTTATGTGATGAAAGTCGAGTCGAAGTCGACTAGTCGTTGATGACGTCATTAATGAACAAATAAGTCTGGAGCTGTGACAAACACCTTGTGCACAGCTATGGCATATGACACAGCGCTGCCCACATGGCTATTGCTCCTTTTTTATCAGTTCTTTTGTATTTGGGTCGTTATATTTCTCACATATTTCTGCTCATTCTAAATCAGATACAGATAAAGTAGCACAGTAAAGATTACATTAATATGAATGCATTAGTGAGAGCGATTGCGTGTGTGAATTAATTCTACCTGGCAGCATCTCTCTACTAGTAGTGAAGCTGTGGAATTTAGTTATTAAGTATTGTATTTAGTGACTTTACTGTCACTTCTTAATTTGAATGCAACCTTATTGACGAAAAAAATATTTGGTAACACTACAATAAGGTCACATTAGTTAACCTTAGTTTACTGCTTTAGTTAACATGAGCTAACAAAGAAAACATTTATTAATCTTAGTTAATGTTAATTTCAACATTTACTAATACATTATTCAAATCAAAAGTTGTATTGTAAAGTGTGTGTGTGTGTGTATATATATATATATATATATATATACAGTATATATATTCCAGAACGGTAGTATAGTTTTTGTAGGTATATTGCCCAGCCCTAATAATGCCACAGTTCGGTTAGATGTGATATGCAAGCCTGATGAAGCAACACTTATTTATTGGTTATGTGTATGGTAAAAAAACAGGAATTATTTCAGAATCATTTAATTGTTTGTACCATAGTTTATGATGAAATGAAAGTGCTAAAAGCAGAGTGAGTTGACTCTAGATCCATAGAGCCTTTCTCAGTCAGCCAAAGGATACTGAGATGACACAATAGGTAAAGTTAGCCAGGTCATTTACCCTCTATCTGTTCTATCACATCTGATCTGCTTTTCGGACATCTGTCTTCTACACATAATGATCTATTCAAATGTATACTGAAATAGCACCACATAATGAGTTCATTTGAATAATATGTCTTAATTTTGCATGGCATCGAATATGCATGAGCACAGCATTGCATCTGCTGATCATGAATAAAAAAACAAAACAGCAGCGAAAACCAAGAGTTGGGAGAAAAAAGAGAGCTAGAGAGATATTGGAGACATTAATGCACACTTTTGTCGTGCAGAGGTCTGATTTTAATCCTTCTCTAAACGAGACTCCCCTGCAGTGCTGGTTGGCAGATTTGATGAAAGATTTAGGTTTTATAACTTCTAATAATACTGAACATGAAAGTCCAAACGGCGCGCTGTTCTGGTGCTCATCACAGGAGGCAGCTGGCTTATTTGGCCTGTTTGTTGGACATAGAGTAAGCCCCAGGTCTGGATTCCCAGTGTCACGAAACAGCCAGAAAGTTGACTCCTCATTAAAGACCACAGATTGGTTCACATAGTGAAGCAAAGTTACTAAAATACTACTTTTTCATACCTCAAAACGTATCAAATATGCTGCTTTATAGCTCAACTAACTGTATTTTGATGGCTTATCTTCATGTCAGTGAAATCATAAGCACTCCAAGCACTCACAGCATGAATCCACTTTGATTTCAGAATAAATCAGATAATGACTAAGGAAAATTGTGCTGTTTCATCCAGAGGTATTTTCTTGATGATTATGAGGCAAGGCAGTTTAGTCATCATATTGAATTGTTTATATAAGACCTACTTTGACATTTCTATTAAAAATCTAGTTGAAAAACTAGATTGTGACATGGTTCTGACATCTTCAGTTAATGGAGGCAGGAGGAATTTTATGCTTGTTTTGTTCTCACTTATAAAATAACCATACAATTTTAAGTGCTTGTGGTACATTCTACACTGGCCTGTCCAAATACCATCTTAGGGGTTCCATCAGTAGGGTTGGGAACTGAGATCTGATTTTAAATCAGCACCGTTGCACTTTGGGTATCCCAAGTTTGAGTCCCAGCTTGTGGACTTTTCCTGATCCTGTTCCCCTCTCTCTCTTCCAATTCCCTTCCTGTCAAACTTGCTGTCTTATCTAAATAAAGGCAAAAAAGGCCAAAAATAAATATGCTTTTCGGACATCTGTCTTCTAAACATAATGCTCTATGGGCAGTCGTGGCCTAATGGTTAGAGAGTAGGACTTGTAACCAGAAGGTTTGTGGGTTGTGGGTTCTCAGGTCTGGCAGGTGGGGGGAGTGAATAACCAGCACTTTCGTCCACCCTCAATATCACGACTGAGGTGAGACACTTGATAGCAATATGGCTGCCCACTGCTCTGGGTGTGTGTTCACTACTGTGTGTGTGTGCACTTGGATGGGTTAAATGCAGAGTGCAAATTCTGAGTATGAATCTCCATACTTAGCCACACATCACTTCACTTATTGAAATGTATACTGACATAGCACCACATAATGAGTTCATTTGAATAATATGTCTTAATTCTGCATGGCATCGAATATGCATGAGCAAAGTCCCAACTTGTGGACCTTTCCTGATCCTGTTCCCCTCTCTTTCTGCCAAAAAAAAAGAAGGCCAAAAAAAATCTGGTTGAACCCAAACTTTTGAATGGTATGCTACTATGCTTGTTTTAGTATTGTTGTTTAACATATAGTAAAGGCCAGTTAGATTTTTCAGTCATTAACATCTATGTAAACACACCTTTAGCAAGAATTGTTTTATTTAACTTATTATTAAAATTATCTTTATAAATTAATTTTAATTTAGAAATTAATTTAGTTTTGTAATTATCTCATAATTTGGCAATGGAATGGCCAATTTATTTTGTTTATTTAATCCTTAAAAGTACTTCTAATTTTTTGTTAAGAAACCAGAACAGAATCGCAAAATTTTGAACGATTTCTATTAGGGCTGCACGATTATGACAAAAATCATAATTGTCGATTATTCCCTTGAAATTGTAATTGCGAATATTAATTACGATTATCACCATTTACATTGAATGATGTTTATACCATTGTTTGATGCAACTGCATGCCGTATTTTTATATGAAAATAAACAAGCTGAAAACACTAACTGAAAAACTTTTAGCGCTTTTCTATAGTTTTAAGCCTCAAATGTCAACTATACATTGGATTGGTTTCTTCTTTAAATTATAAAAAAATAAAAATATGAATAGTATTATAATTTTATAATAAAACTAAAATTAAAATAATGGGAACAACCCATAAGATAACATGTTATAAGAAAGAAAAAAACACATTTTAAGCACGCAGAATAACATAAGTGGACTTTGAATGATTAATTGCCGCTTTGAATGATTACGTAATTGTGGCATCCATAATTGTAATCGCGATTAGAAATTTGATTAATTGTGCAGCCCTAATTTCGATCCCTAGTCACAAGAGTTTCACTGCACTTGTACTAACGGTCTGAAAGGTGAATTTGGCTTTATATGATACATTTCTGCATGAAAGTGAGGGTCTCAAAGCCGACAGCTGCCTTTAGTGTCTGTTGTCAAACTGATTTCACAGTTGTCAGATGACTGAAGTCAAGTAACATGTTTCGTTGTTAAAATTATGAGCTCTAATGAGGAATAACTCTTCTTATCATTCTCTGCTCCACCACACCCCTGACAGAAGCCCTCTTTTTTTCTTTTCCTGTATTTTGTTTGACACAGGAGCCACAGTATATAAAGGTGGATTGATCATTAAAACCATCCACTCATCCCAGCTGTCCTGGCACCTAGGCTGATAGGAGCCCCCTTTAATTCGGAGCCTGACTTAATTGGTCGTATCTAAAATGGTTTAAGTAATTAAGATGACAGAGCTGGTCTGTGAGCGGACACTTTCCTCGTGTCCTCTCGGAGAAGTCTGGCACCTCTCTAGGGTCCTCATTATGACTCGGTCCCCACAAGTTACATGTCCTCACAAGTGAGGATTTTGACGGGTATCTCTCCAAGTTGACCTCCCACGCACACATGATAAATTCATCATCACTACAGAAGAGCGTTTGGGATTAAGTTGGTAGTGGTGGGAGGCAGGAGGTGATTTGACAGCGTTCGCTAATGCCCACGTTAGTTTTGAAATGAGCTAACATTGTATCATGTTTTGTTGCACTGAGTAATGAGCATGCTGCGTGTTATTGCACCAGAACAAGTACGCTAGTGGGATCCAAAAGAGACCACAATGAAAATCTGGGTTGTTAAATCTAATTTAAACCTCATAATTTACAAAGGGATTAAAGAAAGTAATTCAATTCAGATTAATAAATAATAATAATAAAAAACTACACTATTTCTAAGTAACTAATCAAGTAAATTTGTGACATTGATCATGTACAGATGGTCAGATATTCTTCCAGGATGTTCTTCGGATCATTCTGAAATCATGCTGGAGAACATGGTCATCAGGTTTTTAAACAAAATTGTGGAGGCATTCTGTCAAAAAGGGGGTGCACCAACTTGCTCAAAATGGGAGATTTTAATCAATTTTCCAGTTCAACTTTTCACAAATTATGCTGATTATGTAATTTGTAATGGAGCAAAAAGGTACTTAATTAGAAAAATGCAAAACAATTTTCACTAGTGTTCTCAGACCACACTGCATTTCATCTGTAAAATTTGATAGACTTAGTGGTGCTTGCAACTCTGCCATGAGCATGCACTTATTGGTGTTATTGTTGCTGTTGTTGTTACTGTTATTATGCAAATTGTAGTGATCTATTGATTCGCAATTTATTTCACAATTACAATGAGAGAGAAAGATGTTTATTTTGAACCTGTTCTTTTTAATAATAATAAAACATACAATGCAGCCAGTGTTGTCTGACTCACAAATGACTCTTTTGAGCAGGTTCTTTTTAGTGAATCAAAGGCATACAGTGCAACCTGATTTCTAAACAAATGACTCTAAATTGTTTCGTTTTTGGTTAATCAAATACATACATAAAAGTGTGACTTGAATCAGTGTGTTTACTGACTGGTTGTTCATAAGACAATGTAAAGTACACTATGAAAAAAAAAAGGAAATCATATATGAAAATATATTAAATGTTACCACATTTTTAGTTTTGTATGGTTGTTTTATATTTAGCTAAGGCCAATTATCAGGATGGATTCATGTTGCTTCTTGAAGAACTGAAAAGTCACTAAAATATGTTTATAAAATACACATTTTACATTCATTTTTATTAAAATTAACCCATTATTTGGTGATGAAATGTAAATTTTATTTTTCCAAATATGTATTCCTTACAACTACTAAAATACTGGTTAATCAAATCATTAAGGTACTGGAACCAAAAGGAAGTTTCAGGAATTCTTAATGATTCCCAACTCTTCTCGTAAGCCGGTTTGATTGGTTGCAGGTTTAAACCAGGATTTTGTTGTGGGCCTTTTGTTGTAGATACATGCAGCCCTGATAAATGTAGTCATTTCCATTGACATTTACTTAAATGCATTTGCTCCCAGTCAGTCAGAATTCCTGTATTGTACACTCAAAGTGACAGGTCATCATGAGACAAACCATTTTTATAGATGTACCGTATCCTCAGTGACCTATGATTATTGTACCTAATGTGTCAAACGCGTGCTATTTTTGCTCTAGATTTCAACTGGATTTCACGGTCACAGGGACCTTACCTATATGCAAAGCTGTTCTCTTCGATGGAGTGTACTGCATGCATTTTGTTCCTCCATGAATATTTAATTGGCTAGAGCCAAATTATCCCATGTATAATTTAAAGCAGGCATGTTGTTGTCTACCAATATGGAGTTCCCTGGTAATTATGAAGTCAGCTGTATTTATAAGAGGTATCAATCTTTAGACATGTCTAGGATAAAACAAGCATCGCACAGTCATTTGTTTTCAGCTCTCCTTTTTCGAACCACACAAAGGGCAAACCATTGACTACTGCTGCACACCATCAGCAGTGTCAGTAGTATATCTAACTTAAGATTTTGTATGCTTTACCTTTCTTTGGTAAGAAATGGTATATATATATATATATTTATATGGTATATAAATGTGTGGGTTTTGCTTTAAAGCAATAATTCATCCAAAAATGAAAATTTGATAAAAAATTACTCACCCTCAGGTCATCCAAGATGTAGATGAGTCTGTTTCTTTATCGGAAAATATTTGGAGAAATGGAGCATCGCATCACTTGCTGAATTCTCTGCAATGAATGGGTGCCGTCAGAATGAGTCCAAACAGCTGATAAAAACATCACAATTATCTGCTTGACTCCAGCTGATCAATTATGTCAATCATGTCTTGTGAAGAAAAAAGCTGCATGTTTGTAATATACAAATTCATCATTAATAAGTTTTTAAATTCCAACTATTACTCTATGCTTAATATTGCTTTCTTCAGTGAAAAAGTCGTTGCATCTGAATCAGGTGAGAAATATGCACAGATCAAGCACCGCTTATAAGCGAAGACAGTCCAAAATGGTGGATTTTGATGTGAGAGGACAACAGGGGATGGACGTTTTCACTGGAGGAAGTGTTATTATGTATTATGGATTGGTATTTTCTCCAGAAGCGATGTTTTGAAAATGCTTTAATTTGAAAGGACTCTATTCTCTGAAGGTTAGGCAGAATGCTACTCCACTATGGAACTCCAACAAGAAGTGTCACAGGAGACAGAAGATCGTTTAACTGTTTATATCTTTTCAGGAGGTGTGGCAATGTACATTATAAGTCCAGCATTACACAGCCATTAGGATAACAGATGTGGTAACATGTGGTTTGATCTAGAATAAACAAATAAGATACATTAGAATCTGTCTAGTGTGTACATACAATAAACATAAAGATTCACCTCTTTTTACATCATATATACACGTTAATATTGCATAGAAAAATGCAAATGGAATTAAACATTCGCACTTGAATTACACGGCGCATCGCTCCCCTCCAGCCACATTTCACACGATATGAACTCAAACAACAAATATCGGATATACAGTTGCAACATTAAAGTGTTAATATATCACAATATAACAGGTAAATATAAAGATAAATGAACTTACATTCATGCCACCTGTAGAAGATGGTGGCAGAAACGTAACTGACGGAACTGCTGTCGACATGCAGTACTTGCACAGCTACCTCATATACACATCGAAAAGGCTACCCTGTACAAATATATAAGGAATTTTACATTAATGATGTATTTATATTTAAAACATGCAGCTTTTCACTTCACAAGACTGGAGGCGTGTGGATTACTTATTGATTACTGTGATGGTTTTATCAGCAGTTTGAACTCTCATTCTGACGGCACCCATTCACTGCAGAGGATCCATTGGTGAGCAAGTAATGTAATGATGATACATTTCCGCATATCTGTTTGGATAAAGAAACAAACTCCTTTATATTTTGGATGGCTTGAGGGTGAGTAAATTTTCAGCAACTTAAAATTTTTGGGTGGAATATTCCTTTAAAGCAATGTATTACATTTTCTTTCAAGCACACTGGTTTTGCCTATAAATGTGAAGTTTTGAAAATTAAAATGATTTAGATTTTTCATAGATGCCTGAAATGTGCAGATGCTCCTTGCCAGAAAAGCTGCCCCACCAATTTGGATATCAAGTCTTTCATCACCAGCATTTCCAACAAGGTAGAACCTATTGCAATGTTTGAACTCACTCGCTCAGAAGCTACACCAAACACAGTTTATTGATGTTGGATTAAGTGATAATATCATAATCCTTTGTGTATTATATTTCTCAGTTAGTTAAACACAAGCATTTACACATGGCTTTAGTCGGCCAGGTAAATCTCCAAATCACTGCTTGAGTCCATGTTTATAGTTGACTCTATTGTGTGTCTTCTAGAACTACTACGGTGCTGCCAAGGCAATCCTGTCTGATAACCCTCTGGGTTTGACCTGTGGCATGGTGTGTCCCACCTCTGATCTGTGTGTGGGGGGCTGCAACCTCTATGCCTCTGAGGAAGGTCCCATCAATATTGGTGGGCTGCAGCAGTTTGCTACTGAGGTAAGGTGCTCTTCAAATGCAATGGCTAAAATTGCAGATTTTTCCACCTTAAGTCAAAGGTCTGGTGTGGCGATCATTCAACTGAACTCGAAGCTGAAAAGTAATGTAAAATATATATTGTATGTTTGAATCCCAAGTCAAATTTTTAGACTTCAGTGGTAATTTAATGTAATGATTCCTTCAGCGGTCTACTTATGGTGCTCTCCTCTGTCTTGTACGTTCAGTTCCTCACTCACATCCCGATAACAATCACCAGGATCTTTTTAGTTCCTCTGAGAAAAGTCAGTGGGAAAGACATTTCTCTGATGGAATGGACTTTTTTTCAAAGGTGTACATCAAGAACAAGCTCAGGGTGGTAGGGGAAAAGTTAGCCTTTGCTCTCTTGTTTTTTTTTCTTTAGTTCTAAATCTTTTTGAGGAAAAGTAAAGAACAAGGACATTAGAATTGAGTTTTTTTTCCATATTGCTTAGCTAGTAGCCTATTATTTTGCACTGTCCTATTTTAGCTTATATTGGCTTATTTGTTGGTAAATATTTGTTGTTTATGGTCATCTGGCTGTGATTGAGTTAACTGTGTCATTATAAACACTTATTTATAGCATTCAATTAGGGAAAAAACATATTTATACACTACCATTCAAAAGTTTGGGATCAGTAAGATTTTTGTTAAAGGGGACATCGGATGCCCATTTTTTTCACTAGTTGGTATGATCCTTTAGGGGCTTCATGAAATGTCTGCAACATACTTTGTTTAAAATTCCTCAATGGTCATGTAAAACACCCTTTTTACATTTTTACAGCTCTGTTCACAGCGACCCGTTTTGGTACATGTCTCTTTAAATGATAATGAGCTACTGCTCACCCCGCCTCTCTCTTCCAATTTTTGTGTATTCGGTGGTCTGTTTCTATTAAATACAAAACTAATCAACTGCGTCCTCAGTGGCTCTGATGTCGGGAGAAAATGAAGACTCTTATGTCCACTTTTACATCCAACTACAAAACACCTTGTCAGGAAATAGGCTGGATTCAGATGCAGGTACAACAGAGGCTTTATTGAACAGAATAATCAGGGGAGAGTGCACTTCAGCAGACAGTTCGTGAGAGTGAAGAATCTCCTACCACCCAGGTGTGTGGGTGACACTGGCTGGCAGAAGCCATGGCAGCGGAGACGAGGTCGGCTAGGCAGGTCGTTAATCCGAGCGAGAGACAGAATGATCCGCTGGAGAGTCTGCAGAGACCCAGAGGGCGGATGCCGGGAGGGGTCCACGGGTACTTGAGTGCACAGAGAGGTGCAGGGAAACTACTTGCAGCTACGAGCACTGGAGCCTGAGCAAGACAAGACAGGGCTATAAACAATCATGACACTGGCAGTCAGAGCAATGGTATGAACCACAACAGTCTGACACAAGACAGCAAAACATGGGGAGCTATAAGGAGAAGATAACGAGATAAACAAGAACCCGGTGTGAGAGAAGATGAGCTAATGAGCAGGGAAACAAGGAGGGCGGAGACACAACCACGCGGAAAACGAGCACGTGGCGAGCTGTCAAAACAAAGCCACGCACACAACACAACACAACAACACACGAACAGAAGAGACAGCAATGATACAGGTGATCAGACCTGAGACCCGACACACCTGCATTGCTTATGAGACATTGATGTCGCTACAACTACTCGAGCGTGGAGAAAATGGCGGACAGCGTACAACTGGCTGATTATGGAAATATGCTAATACGGAACAGTCCTTCAGCGGTCGTGGGTGGGACCTGAGCAGTATGGTGTCATAATGCTTAGAAAATCAAAACAGCTTGATAATTTAGACTTTTTTGATTCTTGGGGGATTAAAAAAAAAGGAGTGAATGGATTTTTATCATTGTA